ATCAAAACCACCGACGCGGTCGTACCAGACACTGGTCACCATGCCTCCATTGAGTTTATAGGGAATGGGCTGGGCCGTCGGAAAGATCCAGTCCCATTGACGATAGACTTGGGGTGGAACCAAGGATTCAATCCATGCTTGGGCACCTGCACCCGTGTCGCCGGATCCGTGGCAAAAGATAATCAGTGGTTTCTTACTGGCGGCGGAAGAGGACATGGCCAGTGCGTTACTGAGACGGATAATGGTACTCAATGTTGTTGCAAGTAACATCCAAAGACAAGTTCGAGGGAATGGCTTGACCTCTATCATGCCGCTCTTAGACCCAAGAGCGTACTTTAGTAGAAGCAGGCCGGAGAGAAACAAGGTGTGGCAATGAAATCAAATGTAAAGAAGCCCAACCACCAGCAATAAGCGAAGAGAAAGGTCGATTTGATTTGACGACTTCGATGACTCAGGATCTGTAAAAAAGAAAAAACCCAGGAAACAGAAAATTGAGAACTTGTGCTTCGATGGTCGCAGTGATCAACGAATGAGTACAGAAAGCAGATCTGGACAATTCCGATATGTATCCATTGAGTATCTGTGTGCCGTCATGAATTACCTTATCGCCATATTCTTCATGTTCAGTCTAGCATCCCATGTTGTTAGAATCTTGGCAACGACTTCTGGCAGCAAAAAGCAGCTCTACATCCTAAGACATGGTCAGGCTACCCACAATCCAAGGGCCGAAGAGGCCAGAGCCAATGGCTGCTCCTATGACGAATTCATGGAACTCATGCGACAAGATGATTCCTTGGACTCGTCACTGACCGACCTGGGAAGAGCACAAGCAAAATCGGTATACGAACAAAGCTTGAAACATCTCGAGGCAAACATCCAATTGGTGGTCAGCAGCCCTTTATCCCGAGCCATTGAGACGGCAGATTTTGTCGTTCCCAGTGTCCAGCAGAGAGTGTGTGTGGAAGACTTTCGAATCATTAGTGGTTGGTTGCTCAATGCCAAACGAAGAACACGATCTGAGTTGCAGCAACTGTTCCCTCGCTGGAATCTGGATAATTTGCAGACCCAAGAGGATACCCTCTGGACACCAGACCTTGAGACACATGCGGATTGTGCCCAAAGGGGATTCCAGGGTCTCTGCTGGATCATGGAGAGACCTGAAGATTCCATTTTGTTGGTCACTCATGGAGGACTGCTGCGATTTACAATGCAACAACACAATCGGGTCAAAATGATGGATGGAAGGACCTCCAAACAGGAAGAAAGGGATGTTCAAGCACGGTTTGGAAACTGTGAGCTGCGCCGGTATACGATGGAATGGGAGGCAGAGGAAACAGAGAATGACAACCAGTCTACAGATAAAGCTCAAAGAAGCCTTGTTTTGACAGAGTTGGATACTAAAGGGAGACAATAGCCAGGAAGCGGCTAGCTAGCTCTGTGACAGGGAACTAAGAAACTTGAGAATTTTCTACACTGGCTAGGCAATTAGCAAGCAAATATCTAGCTAATTGCTTCGATTGTTTGTTTAGTCATTTGTGAATTCTAACTGGTTTATGATCAATCCGCCCGCTTTTTAGCTATTCAGGCTGCCGAAGGCGCATCCACCACCACATCAAGTCATCAGGCGTTTGTTAGCCATCCGTTTTCTGGTCCACAACTCAAGCAGCAACTTCTCTGTTTTGGGTCAGGTTTGTTTGCTTTTCTTTCAAAATCAAACAATCCTTCATTCACAGATGAATCCTGCCTGCAGAATCGTAGCATCCAAAACGAAGGCTGACTGTCTGCCATGATCACAGATACCGTAGCAGTCCAAAATGTATTGCTATCAAGAACATTTCCATCTTACCGTCACCCACCAGCGTATTGCTTGGTCTTTTACCGTCACTCACCAGCATATTGCTCGGTCTTGCTGTTGTCGTGTCGGAGCTATGATTGGTAAGAGTTATTCATCGAAGGCACTGCCAGGATTACTAACCATGGAAGATCTGACTGTCTGAGCATCCTCTTGAATCTGCATGGATTCTGAGTATTCTTCCTGGTGCTTCGCTTGCTTGTCCAATTGATTGGATTGCCTTGCTTCTGCAATGGCCAAGTTAAGTATTTCCATATCAAATGGTTTTCCCACGTGTTCCTCTAGAACATATATGAGTTGGCCCTTCTTGTCAAAGACTAGGACTCCACCTGCCAACCATCCTTCCGATTTGTGGTTCTCCTTGCTGGATACAATATTTTTCTCATTGAGTCTTCTTCTGGCACCTAGGATTCCCTTGAGAATGGTGAGAATTCCAAACTTTCTCCCTCCCATTGCCTTGTAGAGCTGCCATTTTTCATCCTGGTAGATTGGATAAGAGTGAAAGTAATCCTTGTAGAAATCCAGCAATCCCACATCATCGACTCCTGTTTCCTTGACAGTGGCAGCCAGTGCCAGTTTTCTGTCTTTTGCCGCAAGCTCTACGAGTTGTCTCCCGTGCTCGCGGCACCCGGCTCATCCAGGTTGACGAATGGCAAACAGCATAGTCACATCTGCTTGCTGACTACGCCGTTCATGCTTGATGGCATCCTTCAGGAGGACTGGCTGGCCATGTTTCTTGGTGACAATGTCAAATTGACAATTCAAATCCCACAAGGGCACCTTATACACTTGAGGAATCTGAGCCACGTCAACCTTGTGCTGAAGACTACTAGATCGGATGGACGTAAGAGAAGACCTGGCAGTGCCAACACTAAGGATGCTAGTGGCAGAGCTGCGAAGGTCCGCCATGACCTCTTCTTCTTGAAACTTCTCCTTCGTCTTCTTTCGTGGTGTGGCTTCTTCTCATCAGCTTCTTCGGCTTTCAATGAACGAAAGCTAGCTAGTATTATTAATAGCTAGCTAGCGAGTGGAAGCTGGAATGAGGATGATTGATGATGCCTGAAGATCATCTTCTTTGGTGTTCGTGCCCGTTCCAGCTTGAGTATTTCGGCTCGAGATCTTACCGGTAGTCGTCTACCGTACAATATCGTTGTACAGTACTAGAGTGCTCGGATACTAGTATGTGTCTGGAAGATTGACGATTGTGACCCTTTTTCTTGGTTGATCGGTCGCCTTGTCGCCCTCGAGCCTCGAGCCCAGGCATTCCCCGCCAGTCCGACAGGAAGTCGGATCTGTCATATTCCCCGCATTCCCCGCCAGTCCGACAGGAAGTCGGATCTGTCATAAGCCAAGTTGGAAACAGGGATACATTCGGTACGATTTAGCAAAGCAAAGTGTCAACTCTTTAATTTAATGCGCATCAACGATTTCCGGATTCAGCTTCAAGAAGTAGTACAGACAGGGGACATTGTCGGAGCAGTTGCCCAACACATCCACAAGGACATCTTTCGGAACGAAACCGTAGTCTCGCAAAAGCCGTCGTCGACCCGACGCGTTGAGACGAAGATGATAAGCAATCCGAATCTGCAAGTCCAAAAGACGTTCATCCTCCTCAGCGGTTGTACCAACGTGAACTTCCTCCAGTTCAAAGCAAGGGGACTGTTTCTCCATGATTGCAAGTTGCCGCACTTGCATTCTCAAAGACGTTTTGGCCAGACGGACTCGTTCGAGCACACGATTCTCGTGTTGCACGAGGAACAACCACCGTTCCAGCACCTGAACAGGCAACTGAAAGCAGCCGGTGGCCAGCACGAGACACTCCCTTAGATGGGTATTTTGAACAAGAGCATCCGCGAGTGCATGGTGCAGGTCCCGTGTGTTTCCATCGCGGTGTTGGAGCGGGACCATTTTGAGCTGTTGGAGTGGTGGATTGCTCGATAGCCACTCCACGAGTGCTTGCTCTCCTGCTTTGTCGATGAAAACTCTATCAAATGACAATCTTCGCAAGCACGGCAGCTTCCTGAGAGCACGGATTGCGTTCTGAAACAACGGACCAGGAAGGAGTTTGAAACCCAACTCCACACCCTCCAGGGACTGAGCGAAGTCTACCGATTGCGTGCCAACCGGCAGGTCGACTTCCCCACCCAAGACCAACCGTTTCAAGGAAGGTAAGGATGCGAGCTCTGAAAGCAACGACAGACCAGGCAAAGGCTCTTTGGAGCCCAGTCTTTTTTGAGAGCAGCCCGTCATTTCAAAGGACTCGAGACAGCTTAGCTGACGGAAGGATCCATCCCAAGACCCCAACGGGGTCGCCAGGAAGCTGCACCCGTCGAACTTTAGCCTTCGGAGCCGTGCTGATGACTTCAACAGGAGCCTGGTGACGCAGGTTATAGGAAGGCCAGGACAGTCTCCTATAACAATCTCTTCCAGCCCCGGCAAAGACCCAATGACATCGAAAACAAACGAAATCTTTGAATGGTCCCAGAGATCGATTGGATAATCATCGACGGAAGCAATACGAACTTTCTGTGTACCTCTTTGGGAACCCGCCTTCAGATCCTCGATGATTTTATCGGGACGGAACCCTCCCTCAAGGCAAACGAACAATTCGCCGCCTTCAGCTGACTGCTCCGAGGCAGCAGTGGCGGCGTTGTCTTCCGTAGGTTGCGCGCTTGGCCCCTTTGTGGCTTTGCACAGTGCGTTGGCGATATTTGCGTATTTGAGGCCCCCGCATAGCTTACGAGAAATCCGACCAGGCATGGATGTTTCTTTCTCTTGTGGTTTTGTGTTTAGTTTGATTGTGGTGGTGGTTGTGTTTAGTATGATTGTTGTGGCTGTGTTTAGTTTGTGTTTTGTCGGGCACGGTTTGGTTGGCAGTTCCAAATGGCACGTCTGAAGGGGGGTCCTTCGCAAGCGGGAGTAAACCTTTTTTTTTGGGTTTTGTCTTGGCTTTCCCTTGAGCTCAAGAAGGCTGTGTCCCACTAAAGGCCATCGTTGCTGTTCGGAGAGACGGTGCAAGAGAGGCTGGACGGTTGATCCATGGGACGGCAAGTTAGGGCAACTATGATACTATCGGTACCATGGAGAGGGTTTATATATAAGAGAAGTAAGTAAAAGAGAGTTCCGTGTTAGCCCAGCCCATGTGATGATGCAATGGCTACTACCAATACCCGCAATTATGATAAGAGCGGGCTAGCCATGTAAAGCTAGCCATGACTTTTTATACGACTTATTGCACTGTATCCGTGTCCAATTCAGCGGTTGCCTTTGCTTGAAATCATGAAGAGAGACGCTTCCATTGTTAAAATTAATTCTACTGGTGAACCTGCTTTCACAACAAAGTAGCCTCCACTGCAGTATAGCAGTGTTTTTACCAACTTGGAGGAGGATCGTTGTTGTCAAAGTATATACGTATTAGATTATTACTACTGCCGACACCATCCAAGCACACTGCCGGCACAACTTCCCAGCATGACTCCTTGCAAGACGCCATCGACACCCGATGCTAGACCCAGCGCCGTGGGTCCTCCTGCCACGCAAAGCACCAGTGCCGCGATTCCACAACCAATGTAGACACTTTGATCCATGACCCGCTTGGAATAGTCGATTTGCAATTCTTGTGCCCTGCTGGCCATGGAGTCAAACGTTCGAATATCCCATAGAAATAGTTTCAAAATACCCAACCCCGACACAATCAGAGCCGTCCACCAAGCCGCCGTTCCGGTGGATTGTAGTAAGGTTGGGTAGGGATGATAGAGATTGTTGTCAAATGAAAAAGCCAAGGCTCCCAATAGAGCTCCAAACGGAACCAAGTTGTCCCATGCCACGCCAATGGAGTGGTAGATGACCAAGACGACGTCATTGAAAAAGAAGAAATTGGCAATGGTCCACACCGATCGCTGCTCCTCGTTAGTGTTGGAAGACGTCGCCAAGAGTTTGCTCGATTGCGCTTTTTTGAAAGACATGGGCTTGTTGCTTGCAGGGGTGTTCTGGATGTTGGAGACACATTGCCTGGGAGCCATCATAAAGGCGTTGGCAACACGGGGAGCTGTACCAATAAGAGATACCCCACACAAGAGAATGCTGGCTAGAAGAGAAGGGATTCGATACAACATTTTTGTGATGCTTGGAAATATTTTGTGCTCCTATCTCTGGGATCGATGGACAACGATGAACGAGGGTTTTGAGCTGATGAGGAGTTGGATGTCAAAAGATAGATGATGGTGGTGCTGCCATTGCGTCTGTGCAAAGATCCAACGGTATCTTTTGATTCGTGCCAAGTTCAGCCTGAACCCTTTCATGAAGCTTTGGTTCGCAAAGATATAACGGTCGTTTGGGCAGATCCAATGCCACACGGCCACAGAACGACAAAGAGCTTTTTGGAAGTCTGAAAGAGAGACACACCAAAGAAAGCAGCAGAAAATCGAAGCTACCATAGACTTTTTAGTTAATTCATCGAGTTGACATAGCAAGCATTAGAGAGAGAGAGAGATTAGAGTATAACATGATACCCGAAGATATCACGAAGATAATTGACAAGCTGGAGGACGCGGCCGATCAGGGTAAGGAGCATAAGCAGAGGCTACCGTATCTGCATTGTTTGATGTGATGGCTGTTTTGCTGTTTCGTGTTGATCGTGATGGATGGCCAGTTAGCGAGACTAATAATCAGCCACTGTTATCTTTCTTTTGATTTCGTCTTTTATCTATGTAAACAGAGTCCTTGCGCAAGTACATTCTGTCACTTCAAGGAGGAGCCGAAACTGCTGCCGAAGATGGCGCTGCCGAACCATCCAAAGACGCGGCTGACAAAAATGATGCCATGGACGAGGATGCCTCCGGCGAACCTCCCTTTCCTCCCGCCTACCAAAGTGGAGATGATTTCGAAAAAGCCAGTGAATTCAAAATGAAAGCCGCCGATTTCAAGGCCGATGGAAAATGGGACGAAGCGCTAGATGCCTACACGAATGCCATTTTGGCCGCCGAACCGTCCGCATTGGTCTATGCCAATCGGGCGTTGGCACTGATGCAACTGAATCGTCCATTGGCAGCTGAAAACGACTGTTCGTTGGCGTTACAACTCAACCCAGATTCGGCCAAAGCATTGCGCGTGCGTGGTAAAGCCCGCAAGGAATTGGGAAAATACGAAGAAGCGCTGCACGATTTGTCGGCGTCGCAACAAATTGATTTTGACGAGTCGGTGGTACAAGATTTGAAAGAATTGAGTGAATTGCATTTGGAAAAGGAAAAGGAACACGCCCAGAAACGAAATTCGGAGGTGGAAAAAAAGAAAAAACGAGCCGAAGAAATTCGAAAAGCACAGGAAGATGCGCAACGTGAAGCGGAAGAAGAACGAGCCCGAGAGGCGGCGGCTAGTGCGAGTGCTGGTGCGAGTGCTGGTGGCGGTGGAATGGGAGGTGAGACGATTTGATTTATTTGATTGATATTGCGGCTGCACAATTTACGCATGGCTTGATTTGTTTTGGGGGTTCTGTGTTTGGGTTATTATTGGGAATTTGCTTTCTTGGTTTTCTTTTGGAGGACGCGTGATTTGTTTCTCAACATGAATCAATTTCTTTTCTTCTTTCTTTCACACAGGAATGCCCGGAATGGGAGGCATGGGTGGTATGCCCGGAATGGGAGGAATGGGGGGTATGCCTGGAATGGGAGGTTAGTGAAAATTTGCCGTCTTCAACTCAACTTTGGTCAATTTGCTACCATTTTCATGTCTCACACTTTATTCTGTCATGCCAACGATTCAATCAATTCAGGTGGGATGCCAAACATTATGCAGATTCTCATGTCGGATCCCGAACTTGCGGCTGGAATGCAGAACCCAAAGGTACGTCTCTCCCGACACACTGCCTCCGGTTTCTCAACAAGTGAATGTCATGCTCAACAATAATACAATAAACCTTGCATTGTTGCTTGCAGGTCATGGCCGCGTTTCAAAGTCTAGTGTCCGAACCTGGCGGTGTGGGTGGACTCATGGCAAATCCTGCAAAGCTACAGGAACTCATGTCAGACCCTGATGTGGGACCATTCTTGCAAAAGCTCATGGCCAAGTTAGGACCTTCCATGGGTGGTGGTGGCATGCCAATGGGAGGTGCTGCCGGTGGACCGCCACCCACCAATCCCGATATTGACTTGTCCGATCTTCCCGACCTGGAGTAGTACTGTAGTAATCAACAAAACAACACAATGCCCGACGTTTCATTATTCACGGTTGACAGAGAAATCTAAAACTGGCAACCGCAAGCCAGCTATCATAGTAGCTACTGTTAGGTGGTTGTCTTGAAGTTAAGATTCACCTGCTTCCACGAAACAGTTACTAGTCTATCTGGAAGAAAAAAGACGGCGGATTTGTTGTTTGATCTACAACCTATCTACAGTAGCGTCCCTTCCAAGCTATGTAGGTCTACCAGAGCTAACTAGTTCTCTCTAGCACCAAGCTGGTTCTATCATCTATGATGCAGGCGAACGAAGTTCTAACACCTTATATTCCTGGAACCTGATACTGGTAACTGATAATGTAAAAGTACCACCGTGTTACTGCCGACTGCCGAGTGCCAAGATGCCAAGATACTAGTATCCCTTTTAGCATGGCGCTGCCGCTTCATCTGGGATCTGATCCTGAAGCTTCTGACATCGTGCGAAGCTGTTGAGCGTCACTTCTCACTGCAACACCACAGCCTTATTCCCCTCGCCATCAGCTTCGCATCTGTGTATTGGTTCGTTTCACCAAGCCATTGAGGAGAACAGGAGACTTACTGCCAAAGAACTGGCCTTTGCCGATACTTTTCGACATTTCGTCAAAGTGCGAAGGCAGGCAAGTTCAAGGAAACACTACAAATAGCTCACAGACTGGTTTTTCGTAAGGGGCCTATCCAGCCCCGGCTAGCAGGGAGAGGACAAGGTATGCAGATAGCTAGGTCTCAGGTTGCCCGTTTTGATGTCTAGCTGGTGAACCTGGTACTGCCCTCGAGGTATCTAGCAAGTTGGGAGTAGCCAGCTCTAGCTCTGACCAGCGCCGTAGAGGATCTTGAAAGTCCTTGGCGCCGAGGGCAGCCAGACATCATCTACATGTACCGTAGCTAGTGCGCCCAGCGATGGCTGGTTCCATCACTCCACGCAATCAAGAGATGCATCCACATGCAGCTTTCTTCTTTAGACAGAACGCACACTAGTAAAATTATCTATGAAGTTATGATGAAGTAGGATAGCTCTCGAGTCTTCTTCTCTGCTGCCTGGTGCCATGTTCCTATCTCTGTCACCTGCTAGCTGGCAGTGCAGTCGAACTCAACCCCGCACCGCTCAGCAACCCCTAAAACACGGCCACTTGGAGTGGTCGCTCTCTCACAAAGGGGCTCTACTCCAGCCCGCGTCTCCGAAGTTCCGCCAGGTAGAGCAGCTCCTCGGAGGTTAGGGCTGCCGCATTGTTTCCGTCTTGCTGAGGAGCAACTCTCTGGGTCCCTTCACGGCCACTTCCGTGCTGATGCAATGACGCCTGGTTTCGCCTGGCCAGGAGGAGGGAGTTTTCCAGACCGGTTGCAGCACCGTGGTGAAGGGCACCAGGCATGGGTGGAGCGACGGGACCAGCTCCCGTCAATTGAGATATGAGCTGTGAACTCATGCTGGTACTTGGGAGCAATGGGTTGACTCCATGATGATGTTGATTCTGAAACAGTCCAACGTTGCCAGTCAGAGACGCGCGTCCCGAAATCCGCTGCTGAAGGAGTAGACGAGCCTGAGCAGTAGTATCTGGTAGGGAGGCAGCTAGATGCTGTTGCAGAACGGAATCCCTCATGTGTTGATCGCGAGCCGCTCGCTCAAAGGCGCTTCCTTCTGATTGCTGCCGCTGCAAGACGGAACCCAAACGTTGCCTCTCCAACAAGCCGCCACTTGGTCTCATCTGATCAGTACGATTGTCCTGTTCGGGAAGTCCCATCCGTGCTAGCAAGGCCGCCTGTTCTCGGTTACTACTCAGGGCCAGTTGGGAACGGTCCAACGCCGCGAGACCATGGCCACCAAGTCCTGATGGAGCCGGGGCTCCTGACGAACGATCCGCGCGCCACTCGTTGGACAGAGAATGCAACAAGGACTCTGGTCCATGACTTGAGAGGTTATGGTGATGCTCTGCCGCCACCAAAGACGCCAAGGATGGAGCCTGCTGGTGGGTCGTTGTCTGCGAAGACGGAGATCCCAAAAGCCCTCGGGTCGCAGCCACTCCTCCTCCAAGTCCCTCCTCGCGGAGAGGGCCCACCGAAGGCGACAAGCGCAAGGCAGTGGGGGGCGCCGAAGGAAGAACCGCTTGAAGTGCCTGTCTGCGACTGTCTCGGGCTTTCGCTGCTGTGCTGTTGTCCTTCTCCTTTGTGATTTGGATGAGCTTGACAAGCTCTGGTTTGTCCTTACGAAAGCACTTATGACTAAAGGCAATGGTCTTTCCCGAGGCAGACGTGTCGCAAGTCATTCGTTTGAACCCCCTGTCAAATACGGTGGCATAGTCAGTGAGACGAGACGATGCCTTGTGCAATGGCTCTAGCTAGCAATGATGCTCTGACTTACCATCGGTGAAGATTCCTGACAAGTGACTTGAACTTGTTTCCACGAAAGTGTTTGTCCAAGATCATTGCCTGAAACTTCTCCTTTTGCATGGCAAAGGCTGTGCCCTTTTGAAGCCACCAAATGGCATCCGGGGCTTCCTCACGAAGGAGGATGGCCATGATCTTGTCGGGCAAGCGCAGAGCACCAGCGCTTGGCTTTGGCTCGGGCTTGTATTGCTGAATGGCTTCTTGGGGGCTGCCCATCTTGGTGGGGTCATGGATGATTCCCATTGCACCGGGCTGCTCTTGCTCTGGCATACTTGCTGCGCTCAATCCAGTCTCTGTCGTCTCTTCTTCAGCTGATGATCCTGACCTTTGCATGGGATAGGCCGCGACTACAAGTGGCAAGCAAGTGATGGCACAAACAAAGGGGGCACGATGAGTATGGCAAGGAATGAAGCAGGGAAGACGACCTGGTCACCAAGCATTAATGACCTACCTCCTTCTACTTTCGATAGTGCAAACTTCTTATTGTTGTCTCCGTTGGATGGCATACGCTCAAGGGTAATAGTCTCAGCACCAGAACGAATATCTCTTTTCTTTCGAGAGCCAAAGGAAAGAATCATAGCCTTCAGAGATAAATTATGAGATCAGACGATGACCAGATTGTAGATCCTCTATGCTCTTATTACCATTGATGATGGTGGGGCAAACTCAAAAATAAAGGCTGTGCATGAAGCGGTGCCCTGCAATTCCACCGTACTACTGGTAAGCAGACTGAATTGATTTGATGAACTGTGTCTACCTCCTGCCGCAATTCTTTGGCTCATTAGGCACAGCAACGCCGCGTAACCACTCGTAGATTTTTAGGTTGATGGTCGATGCATTCAATTAGATTGGCCTCTTTCAGTGCCTGTCCAGGCTCGGTTGAAGCTGTCTGTTTTGTACTGTTTGTGTGTGACTGTCGCGATTCGTGGAGTCACTCTATGATCAGAGAGTAGAAGTCTGCACTCTACCATAATTGTTCGTGACGGAAGACGCTTCCTTTGTTGCACTTAGGTTTTAAATGACCAGAAATACGTTCAATCGACCATTAAGAAGCCGGACTTTCGCGACTTAATGCAATTACGATTTGGATGAATCTTTGCGGTAGCTGTACGTTAAATAAGCTTTCGAGAGCCAGGTCATCGTGGACTCAAAAAGAACTGATGGGGACACTAGGACACAAATCATTTCGCTGGCGAGTTATGACATAGATGACGGACTAGACATTTTGTGTTTAGATCCGATGTGTCTCGAGTGGAGCGAAAGCAGGAGCAAGGGGAGGAATTAGTATCTGTAACAATGACATTTAGCAAAGGAAGCTCGAGTATTAAAGAAGGGTTCGCTGTGACATAGAGTCTTTAGCCAGTAGAAAATGTCTCTTTTTACTGGTACTCATGAAGTTACCCTTTTTTCAGCATCATACTTTAATCAAGATTCCTTCCACGTATATTCCAGTAATTTCAAAGCTTTTTCCAAACACATTGGGAGATTGCCACTACAAAAATGCAAAATTGAGTGTTTTCGATACCAACAGATCCGGGCTGCTTTGCATCCTTTCTGCTACGCTCTCTTCAAATGATTGGATCTTCACCAGTTGCGGACTTGACCAGCTGTTGTTGACCGAAAATCACACTGAATGCTACATGTAAATTCATTCGTAGCCATCAAACAATTTTAATTGGGCTGTCCCATCAGACCAAACCTGAATCATTTCATGATCCCCTCTTCCTTGTGTCTCTAAACTAATGGTAGATTGATACAAAACTAATTTATTTAGAATCCAGAGAGAGACCAGTTCTTCCATTCCAGTGTTACAAAACTACTCAGCTGCTGCTGTCTTTTGCTGGACGTGTGGCGGGTCCGGAAGTTTACTTTTATCAATTCTTTGAAGTAAATTCAACTAAATGTTTGATGGAATCTTTTATTGATGGAACTTTAGATCGTCAATGCAAACATTCGGATCTTCTTAGATTCTCCTTCCTAGCCCCTCGGAACTCATGTTCCCTGGACGTTATTGTATCAGTTGCCGTGTGGACCTGCCCATTCGCTTCAGAAGAGATGCTTCAATTGCATTAATTAATTCGGGTCGAAGATGACTATGCGAAGAGCCTTAGGTTTCTATCTTTACGTCAAAGTTTTGGTTACTTCGTTATTTCATTTTCATCCTTTGGAGGAGTTATCTTCCTCGTTCCCAACCCTTATTAGAATGTCAGCTGGACCTTAGCTGAGCTGACCTCGAAAAGCAATATTACGATTTACAATACGTACAAGAAGACAAGTATCAAGAGCGTTCCTCAATCGTGGATGAGGTTAAATCCAAAGGTTCCCAAATTAGGGGCAGATTTAGGGGCAGATTCCCATTAGGGGCAGGTTTGAAACCTGCCCCTAAAAATAGGGGCATTTTGGAGAATCCGCCCCTAAATCCACCCCTAAAATAGGGGCGTTTTGTTATTTAGGGGCAGATTTCAAACCCGCCCCCAAAATAGGGGCGTTTTCTATGTATTTTGAGTACAGTCCCGTTTACTTTTTAGGCTGGTTTTGAAACCCGCCCCTAAATATTTGGGGCACTTTCTAAGAAACTGCCCCTAAAATAGGGGGCGTTTTCTAAATAGGGGCAGGTTTGGAATCCGCCCCTATTTTAGGGGCGGATTTAGGGGCGGATTCCAAACATGCCCCTATTTAGGGGCGTTTTGCACGACTGAGGGACGCTCCAGTGCGCACGCCAAGGTTTCACAGTTCGGCGAAATAGCTCCTTCTTTTTCAGTTTTCCTCAGCGCTTAGTGCATCCAAAAACTACCTAATCGTGGAGACATTGGGACCAGATGACTCTACAGGCTCTCTCTAGATGTATGTAGCTCGCTACCGGGAGCCAGCATGCAAGTTGAATTTGGTCGAACTCTGGTCGGATAAAGAAACAATCTCATCAATGCTACCGGTGCGGGGGGTAGATGCAATCAAGCACACCTTCACACTGGGTTGTCGATAGCTAAACCACGGCTGCGACTCTGGAGGATGCCATCCTTCAGCTGGTACATGGGCTGTTCACTGAGGGTTTCCACTACAGTACTTCAGTTGGTTTGGGGGACTCGAGTCGACTGTTGAGTTTGTTGGTGCCTTTAGGAAAGTTGCGCCGTCCTCGATCCTCGACGAGGTCGTCTGGGTGGTGCACCTCGAATAGCTCCCATCCTGAGATTGACAGAGAGACAGGGCTGTGCTCGTTCGTCTAGGTATCTGACGTACGCCCCGTTCCAGTAGACTAGATCCGATATTTGGAAACGTAGTTAAATTTGACGAAGAAATCGCCGAGTTCCCTCCATGGCCCCGTCTCTGCACTTCTGTTTACTAGGCAAGCTATTAAATAACGCTTTTCAAAATCATTCATTGCATTACGTAATAACATTCAATACTTAAATACTGCAGGAGGAGGGTCCCTGTAGTGGCAACGTGTGCCCAGCGCCACTCCCTTTGGTTCACCTGCTCTAATGGTATTGGGGCCTTGTCGCAGAATTCACCAGCCTGCCAGAGTCGGTTTGACTGGGAGTCCTGGCGGCTGCACTGCTCCCTCCTAGGCAAAGACTTCTGGCTTGCACTGCTTGACTCTGAAGCTCTAGCAACTCGAGCTGTCGGCTGTTCAAACTTCCCCCAAGCTGTTCGTTCAGACCGAACCCACGAGATCCTAGCTGAGCAAACGAGGACCTGGCTATGGACCTGTCGGCGAGAATGCCACCGGCACCGGGACCCAGGCCACCGCTCATGAGCACCATGTCCGTTAACCTTGCGTTTCCACCAGAAACACCACCAGCTCCTCCTCCAAATAGAGAAGCACGAGGAAACAGGAGAGATTCGTCTTGGGCCCCCAGAGCATCTCTTGTTACTGATCTTGCCAAAGCAAGCGATCGAAGGGCGTTGATGTCAGCCACGGTGCGGTTGCCGTAAAGGTATGCCCCCCTTCCGCCTCCCAGCAACTCTGTCTCCTGCTGAAGACGGAGAAGCGACAAGCGCCGTTGATCGTCGAGCATGTTGGACAGATAAGATTGGGCTGGCATGTTCTCAAAGAGCTGTGGCGTTGGACCAGGGCGCCCTGGCAGCGCTGTTGAAGCGCTTGGCGATAGAAGATGCCTTGAACCAGTAATATCTAGGACCTTGCTTGCATCTGGGGCGAGAGGTGGAGAAGATATTGACTTGGAAGCTCCAGCCGCTCCAGTCAGAGTAGTAGCGCTTGTTGCCCCGGTAATAGCAGTTGCGCTTGTTGCCCCGGTCCAAGAAGTATCGGGGCTTCCCTCTCGTTTGGGTGCCTTTTTGACCCTGGAACTTTCGCTGGATTCCAAAACTTCATCAGCAGCTCTCTTGATAGCTTCCTTCTTCTTTGCCTCTTGCTCCTTCTTTCTCTCCTTGGCGTCATTGATCATCGTCACTTGCAAGACGAGCTCAGGGTCATCTTTGTGGAACAACGAGTGACTGAAGGCAACTGTCTTGCCCATTGGTTCTGCATCAGAGGTCATTCGCTTAAAGCCCCTGTCAAAGGCAAGGCCAAAACAAACAAAACTAAAGTTAGAAAGACAATCCCCATTAAAGCATAGTCAAAAAGGACCACCGGAAGCATCCAGATCCGACTCGACTCGTTACGATATCATGTTCGTACCATCTGTGCATATTTCTGACGAGTGACTTGAACTTGTTACCCCTGAAGTACTTCAAGAGGATAGCCCCCTGAAACTTGTCCTTCTGGATAATGAAGGTGTCCCCTCTTGGAAGCCACCAGATGGCATCAGGAGCTTCGTTAGTGAGAAGAATCTTCATTAGTTTGTCAGGCAACCTTGAGCTACCCTCCAACTTGGCAATGAGTTCCTGCACGCCCATGCCGGTCTTCTTATCTTGGACTGGGGTATCCACTTTGGTAGTCTCTGTATTACTCATCCTGAACCTCGATCTCTTGTCTTTCCTTGATAATGAGAATGTGAGTGCAGTAATGACGAAGTGCGGCCAGTGGTGTGTGTGTGTGTGTGTGTGTGTGTGTGTGTGTGTGTGTGTGTGTGTGTGTGTTTAATAGTCTCTGAAGTTATGAATGCTGCCAGTGGTATGCTGGTCGTCAAACCAAAGAGTTTTTGACCACTGGAACTGAATGATTGCATCGATCTGCAATAAATAGAGGGGAGGTCGGAGGTCGGAGGTTTGCGGAGGTGGGGACATCGCGGGCTTGGTAGCAACGTACTACTAGCTAGTAGCTAGCTAGTAGAAGCAACAGGCAACAGGGTGTACTCCGGAGTAGTTCGAAGGCCACTGGTACTGGTACTGGTAAGTACTTGCTCTGACTATCAAAATGGTGTACAAATGAGGCTCTCTAAGCCTCTGTTAGATTTAGAGGGGGAAGTGGCTTCGGATCATATTGTTTCACCATTAAATAATGATTTACAGATGAACTGTGACTTCTACCGACTTCTTTGGTTCAAACTGCATATACCTCCAAGAGGTAAATCATATGAATTAAGCGAGCTGTTTCCTTTGAGACGAAGTCTCAATTCAATGGCTCCATTGTCCCACCAACATTCCGATTCCAAACAGCCCTGTTAAACCTTACTACTAGTAATACACTCCTCGATATAATATGTTAATTCTTCCTGGCTCTAGGATGAATGAAATAGCTATAATTCACCATTCGCCAGCACTTTATGAAGGGAGGTAAAAGAATATTGAATCCATAAGTGCTCCCACCTTAGTGACCTTTTAGAGACCATCACGGATGCTTTCTGAAGACCATTATTTATGGTTAATCTGAGACTGAAACTCTTCTAACACGTTATTCAATCGTTTGACCATCAGGGTTTTAATGCACCAATCTGCAAAATGCTTACGTGGTACCACCTGACAAGGTATCTTTATGTCCCTCGAAAACGTACTTTACCATTTACATTCCATGATCTGTGGAAGAAGCAGCACTTAGCTCCCCTTAACGAATGTGTCTGTCGTTCAGAGCTGCGAGGGATATAAAGAGCACATCATATCACCGTGGCTCATACATGCATAGCTCATGCATTAGGCAGCTCATTAGGCACATGGCTGGTTTCGTGACTCCTTTTAGTTCAATGGTTGGTTCAGGCTTCCGCGAGCTCTGCCAGGTCAAAGCCGGAACTGATCCCACGATCAATGCAACCTTGTTAATTGTAAGTTGGTTCACAGATCACAATCCCGCCTTCTTTGGTGCTTCGGTACAGTCGTACGTTTCTCGCCCAGACGCGGCTCGCAGTAGCTCTGCGCACTGAAGGAATTAGGGTGTCGCCTGGTACCGTACCGGCAGGTACCAGCGTTTTAGAAGCTGGTCCGCTTGTCCGCTTTTCTGCCTTCAACAGCATCTCTCCATCTTCGCGAAACTCTGTCTACAAGCTATTCGAGAACTCAGGAACTAGGAGAGGAGATACCAGGAGATTGACCTGGCATTGGGATGTGCCCTCTGGACTGCTGAGCCAGGGCGGAGCCAAAGGGCACCAACCAATACCACGGTGAAAATCTGTGCTGGTAGTACTTGCCCACCGGTACCGGTGGCTCTGGTCCGCTCTCGCTGTCTCCGGATGACAAGAAGAGTGCTGGAGTGGATATAAGACATCCTTGGCTGGTCCATGTATGTTATGGTGAGGCACTGTCATCAGATGGATCAGTGGCTGGATATCCATGGCTTGTTGATACCGGTATCTGTGTCGAGGGTCATGCAGCTTGCTATGCAGGGTGGGAGGAACCATCTGTGACTGATGGATATTATTCATATCCAATCTCCAGTGTGGCTGTACCGGCAGGGAAGCTAGGCCTACAGTAGTACTGACAATTCATTCTCTTGAGACTCCAGGCGAACTTTTTGTTGCGATGCTTGCACCATACCGGTGCCGTACCAGTACTGCTTCAAGCAACATGCGAATTTCCTCTTCAATAGAGGCGGGTGCAATTGGAAGTACTAGATAGAAGAAGGGAAGATTGCTGTACCCGCAGCCATTGCCTTCTTGTCGTACCTGATGAGGACCTGATGAGGGATTGGAACTCGCACGATGTCCGCTTATCAACATCGCGGCAAGGACCAAACTCAGGCATACTACTAGCTACGGTAGTACCGGTGGGGGCACTCACTTGCTGGCTGCAGTAGCTAGTTGCAGAGGGTCCAGTACTAGCTAGTATGAAGGTTCGCTGTCAAACTACTGCCAGCTCTACAAAGATAATATCTTTTGGATAGGCTAGCTAGGATAGGAACGGCGAGTCCCCTACATGCTGTCTCAAGGATTAGAAAGGCACATTACAGTCTGTACCGTACCGATACGTCCAAACGAGGATGATCCCTGTATCGTTGAGTAGGGTAGTCTGCGTACCGTAGACCAGGCCCGCCGGTGTAGATTACATCATGCACTCGATTACTCCTTCCCCACGGTTTCTTGGAATAGTCAGCAGAGCGTGGAACCAATTATCCTGATCCATACTGGAGTATCCAAAAGATCCGTCTTGCCTTGGTACGTGGTGGCAGAATAAAAATATTGTTGGATCTGACGTGTTTGACAACACGTTGTCCCTCCTACATGTATTATTTTTGTGGTGGTATCTTCGGTACGGTACTCTCAGAAGCCAGAACACAGTACAGGTAGGTCTATCATTATTGCTGGACTCTCTACGTATCAAGTTAGATAGCTTCAACTGAAAAGAAGGGTGAGTGCTGCCGGCTAATATTCCAGAAGAGGCAAGAAAGAAAACGGAGGTAGTGCAATTATTGCAGTTTTGAGCAAAGGCTCGCAAGTAGAAGAGCCAAGATCATTTTTCTTGACTATCCCGACAAGCAACACCATGCAACTCTACGGTTTGGCGTCATTCCTGCTGGTAGTGGCAGCATCCGATGCCTTTACAGTTCCATTCACCGGCAAGGCACAGTCCGGCACTACCAGTAGCCAAAAATGGATGGCAAGCAAGGAGACAATTTTGGAAGATGTAGATGGTCTGGGTGCCGCCGTGAGTGAGCTGAACAAGACCATTGCTTCGGTAGACTTTGACAATGAAACTGGCAAGGAATTGGAAGACGATATTCTACAGCTCATGGTGGATGTCGAAGAAGAGGCAGAAAAGGTGATTGCTTCTGTCATGGACGACGAATGTGAAGTGGATCTGATCAGGGGAGAACCTGTCGATGATTTGTGTGTGGAAGGTGAAGAACGGGAAGGATTCCGCAAACGGTTCAAGAGTAACGTTTCCAAAACTTTGCAAATGGTTCGTGGAATGCCCACGGAAGAGAAGGAAGAAACTTTGGTAGCAGAAGGGGACGAATCTCCATCCTATGCAGGAGATATTCTCGAAGAGGGATGGACCCAACGAGGTGGAACATCATCCATTCGTCGCAATGCCGAGGTGTGGAAATTTGCATTAAAATGTGTCTTCAAGGCGTTAAAGCCAAGATCCATGAAAAAGAAGGGAGCTTCGGAAGAGGAAATCCAAGCGGCACAAGTGGAAGCCGCCACATTTATTCGGGATGGATTGCTCACATTGGGACCAACCTTTGTCAAATTGGGACAAGTGATATCCACTCGTACAGATGTTCTGCCCGCCACCTACACGGATGTCCTCAAATCTCTGCAGGACGAAGTGCCTGCCTTTTCCGGTGCTCGCGCCAAAGATATCGTTTCGGCGGAATTGGGAAAACCATGTGATTCCGTCTTTACCGATTTTTCCGCCGAACCATTAAAGGCAGCATCGTTGGGACAAGTCCACACTGCCTTTTACAAAGGACAAAAAGTCGCCATCAAGGTCCAACGTGCTGGACTCAAAGAACTCTTTGATGTTGATTTGAAAAATCTACGCAAACTGGCGGCACTATTGGACAAGTTTGATCCCAAATCCGATGGTGCCGACCGTGATTGGCTCTCCATCTACGATGAATCCGAACGGCTCTTGTACCTGGAAATTGACTACCTCAACGAAGCCGATCAATGCGAAAGATTCGCCAATGATTTCAAAGATATTGACTACGTCCGTGTCCCAAGAGTCTACCGAGAATTGTCGACACCGCGAGTCTTGACCATGGAGTTTGTGGATTCCTTTAAATTGACTGATATTAAACGGATTGACGAGTTGGGGTTGGACAAGCAAAAGTTGGCGAAACAAACTGCCGATGCTTTTTTGAGACAGATTGTCGAGACATCGGTGAGTCGAGTACACAAGAAATATTCTTTTGTTGTGTTCTAATATTGTGCTTCGTGGGGGATTGCCGAGACAATGGATGTGTCGTCTAACCACTGCAGCTACGCCTTTTCCAAATCTGTTACTATAGTACTTTCATGTAAGTTTACGACTCTGCCAAAGAGTCCCAATTCCTGAAACCTTTGGTCACAGCATTGCCTTACCAAGCCTTCTTGCCAATATCGGTAGTGTGATCCCCACCCCGGTAACTTGTGTGTGGATGAAAAGGGCAACCTCGTTTACTATGATTTCGGAATGATGGATGAGCTCAAGCCTAACGTACGGGAAGGATTCCGCAAATTCTGCACTGCTCTGTTTGCTGGTGGGCCCATGATTTCGGATACCGATCTTGCCAAAAACGCCAAAAAGTTGGTAGATGGAGTGGAGGAAGCTGGAGTCTTGTCCAAGGGAGCCGACCGTCTGGCAGTGGAAAAGTTGGCACGATTCTTCATGCGATCTTTCAAGGATAACCAGCTTGGCAAACCAACCGAAAACATCAAGGAGACTCTGGGTACAGATCTTCAGACACTCACCGAGAATGACGTTTTCCGTTTCCCCAGTACATTTACGTTTATCTTCCGAGCCTTTGCCAGCGTGGAGGGTATTGGCAAGGGGTTAGACCCAGAATATGACATTGGAAAGTTGGCCCAGCCCTTCATTGAGAAGTTTACAGATGCTCAGAAGAACTATTCCAGTAAAGCAGAAAAGAAGTTTGACATCTTCACCAGGGCAACTGGGTTGAACAAGGACGACATTAACACTGCGATCACATCTCCCAAAAAGATTGCTTACATTGAGGATACCCTGCGATCAATGAGTTCCGGTGACCTCAAGATTCGTGTGCGATCCCTGGAAAATGAGAAAGCTCTCGAGAGGATGACCATGACACAATCCAGAACGGAGAATCTATTGTTAGCCACCATGTTCTTGAATGCTGCGGGGCTTGCGACGCGCACTGTCCTCACAGGAGCAGGATATGCTGGTGCAGCGTTCTTCTTGCTGCAAGCCGTCATGGCCAATGCCAAGGTCAAGAAGTTTGACAAGACACAGGCAAAGTATGTCCAGAGCAAGTTTGTCGGGGACAAATAAGGAGGTGATATTCGTGATTTTTGCCTAAATACTCATAAAGTAAGTGTACATATTCCGGTCTTGACTCCCAAAGGTGCTACCGGTGGTGGGTATGACCAGTGAGCTCTGCTCGTGGTTTCGTTTTCGAAGCACGGTAGCTGTTTGGCGGCCGATCGAGCAAACCCTTGGAACATCCAATCGACCGAAGTAGGCATCGGGACGCACCACCTGCGCCCCTAGCTATCAACGCAAATGCTAGATGAGATTCGCTTGATCCAACGTTGATGGTAAGGGCTAGTATATGTAGACGTGACAATGTTCATTACGCAAGAAGTTATAGATAAATTGAGTTATACATGTAGAGCAGTCACCTGCTCTATGCTAGTCTCTGGATAGTCCTGTACATGTATTCTATATGTAAACAATAATAGGCGGGGATGAACATTCTGAATCGAATCGATTCTCGTTGCTTGGATGCAACCAACCATCAGCTTGCGGTTGGGCTGAAAGCTTATCGCTGTCTCTTGAAAGCACGCGCACTATCCTGCAACTCGTTCTCCTGCAGCTTTCGCTTCATCAGCTCCGAGAGCCCTCCCGCGTTGGCAGAAGCTCGAAGCTGCAACAGATCTTGAGAGGTAAGGCCACCACTCTGGCTTACCGAGCTGAGGGAATTCGTCAACGCTGACACGCCAGGGAGCAGTCGCTGACGAAAGTACGTGGCGTCATCTTGAGGAGCCTGAAGCACAAATCGGTTCAAGTTCACGTCCAGGTTGTGTTGTTGAACCGACGGATGATTCAACGACGAAGCCTCGTTGCTGTTGGCAGTTTGCCCACCAGCGGAGGACAATCTTGGAAGCTGATGACTTGCGTTGAGACCCAAGGAGGGAAGAACGTCCGCACCCAAGCCTTGAGTTCCCATTTGGACGCCGCCAAGATTGGTAGACGTGGCTTGCGAAAGCTGCGCCGACAAAGCTCTCTCTCGGAACTGCATCGCCGCAAGGGTGGACGCAGCGTTCGCATTGGACAACGAAGATGCCAACTGCTGCTGCTGGTCCATTTCCCGCAGCTGAGCGTGGAAGTCTCCCAAGATTGAGTGGGAGGACGACAAGGCCGGGAAATCAGCTTGCTGCTGCGGTTGCCGCAATGCTTGGATGTTGCGCAAAGCGTCGTTGCCCGCAGCCAAACCGGCCGAGATCAGGGACGTGGGATTTGCGTTGTTGGTAGCATCCAAGTTCCGTAGCCCACCTGGCACGTTCAGTTGCCGAAGGCTCGTTTGTGCCCCCAACAAACGAGCAACATCATCCGATTTGTGAGCCTCCGATCCCAAGCCACCAGAACCTCCCAAAAGCCCAAGCCCCTGCGGGAGTCTTGCCGTCGTCCGCAGGTCCGAGTCACGGGTGAAGGAGCTGCGCGGAACAGCTGAAAACAAACCCGCTGCAGGCGTCGCAAATGCAGAGAAGGATCCCTCCGAGGGCAGCCCGCTTAGCTTCTCTTGGCTTAGCAAAGCATCAATGGACTCGCCGCCCTCTCTCTGCTCCGCCGCAGCAGATAGATAACGGCGCTCTAGCTCGCTAAGTCGCGCACGGAGAAGCATAGCTTGCTGAAGGGTGAAAGGGTCCTTGCTCCTCTGATAAACCATTCGTCCATTGTAACTGATACCTTCAAACTTCTTCGAGATACGCTTGGGCTTGCACTTCATCATGGAGCTAAGAAAACTGCGCAGTGTGGTGCCTTCTCTGAGCGGGAGCTGGCCCGCCTTGAAGGCTTCCATGAGCGCCAACATGTACTCACATTCTTCATTGGTCCACTTCCCACGATGGTACTTGCTTTCCTTGGCAGGCGCTTTCTCCTCATTGACACTGTCGTCCTCCCCCGTGCTCTTCAGGTTAGTCATCTTGGATTCTGCCATGGTGTTTGCGTTGTTTGGTGTTGGTGTGCTGATGCCTGGCTGGTAAACGTGTTGGTTTTGTGCGTTTGTGCTTGTGCTTGTGCTTTGAGAGATTGTTAGAGAGAGAGTGGAACAAGGAGAAATAAAGTGACCAGGACCAGAACCTAGAAAAGTGCAGTCAACGAAATCTGGATTTCGCAGACTGCGATATGCAGACACGTACTACGCACTACGCAGAATCACGCGTAGGATCAAGTCGATAAATGTGCGGAACGGTAGACTCGTACAAAGTCGTGTGGGGAAGACATCAGGCTCAACAAGCTGCTTGAACGTGGTAATATCGTTGTGCACACCTCGCGAGGGTGGTGGTAGAGGCCAAATGGAAGGGAACTGCTTTCTATCATTGACATCGTTTGTTTCAAATCTTTCAGCCTTGAATTTAAGATATACATATCTTCTTCTTGGTTGAATCGAATCATTCGATTGAGATTCACGCTGGTCGTCTCTTTTGGCGGGCTATTGGCGGTCTGCCAGTTGGCAATATTTAATTTTAATACCGGTTTGTTTGTTGATACATGTACAGCTCCAAGTCTCTCTACTGGTACATGTAGTAGCCAATACATTGGTGAGGGGCTGTTATGCAAGCTGTTGCCTTGTAGCAGTAAATACCTACTCTAGTCATCATAGGAGCTCCATAAACATTATTTGACACGGCTCTACTGTACCGTAGAGGCAGGACCAACCATCCACATAATATCCACACAGCTTCCACGCTTCCACATCGAATTCTTCCATTGCTGGTGTCTGATGACAGAACCTGGCTTGCTAATGAGAACCTATTATTTGGAGAGTGACAATCCAAGTGGAACTCTGCAGTACAGTGTATCCACAAGCTTCTCATTAAAGACTGAGGACTCGTATGGGTGGTCCAGATGCTCGGATGTGGCCATATTAGCTACGGTTCGATACTCTAGCTAGCTTGACCCCTTTGCTCCCGACCGATATCTACCGGTATCTCATTGATGCCAGAGATGGTAATCGTGCTCTAGAAAACCCAGGTTCTCGTTAAAGAAGATACGTATCTCCAACCGTAACAACTTCGCATGCCGGTGACTAGCTAGACTGCCTGGACTAAAGACTCTGCCGTCAAAAACTAAAGGTTTCTTAACATCATAGCTTTGCTAGGTCAAAACGAGATAAAAAGTCAACAGTTGGGTCACAGGCAAGACCGAAGTACTATTCACGAACGTGCAGGTAATTAGAATTGCCGCATCGAAAACTTCTTATTCTTGCCATCGCGGATCAACGAAGGAACCCTAGGTGAGACATCTTCCAGAAGCTCTTCAGGAGAACAGGGAAATAAGAAGAGGTGTCAAGAGAAGAGAACTTCAAGTTAGTAAACCCTAAGAAGGATTCAGACACAGTTGGGTGAGAGTGAGTTTGTGAGAGCATTCGGAGTTCGCTTCTGGTACATGTACCGAAGCTGGGAAAACAGCAAAATTATTTTTAATTTGTTGTCAGGACCATTTTAGGTTTTGTTTTAGGATCAGCCGTAGTCCCAACTTGCTAGCTAGCTGGCTAGCTTACAGGATACTGGTACTGCCGCCAGCAAGAGCCAGCTTCTCATGCATTGGTAATCTACCGTGTCTACGTTCCTCCGGGCTCACGGCTGCTGAGTACCCGTTTTCCTACCGATATGTCATTGGAGGAAAGACAATTCAAGGCTGACCAACAATCGTTCAAAAACCAGTCTTGAAGCATACCGGTACTTCATTTATTTGACGGGTGATTCCGTTCCATTCAACCCAAAAGATATGCTGCTATCCAAAATCTTGACTAGCTCACGAGGGTGTCCCTAAAGGAAAGAGACTTTGGCTTTGGATCTTATACAATCATCTTTTTACAAGAGCGAAGAGCACAAGATTTAGTTGACGCACATCAATTCACCAATTCACTGCCAGTTCCCCGATCATGCATCTTTTCATCTCTTTCAGTGACATTTGAAACAATGAAATAATGCTATGGTGCCCTTTCGTTCCTTGCACAGATCAGAAAAGAATTATCCTATTGATTCTTCGAGTTCACAAGAATCCCTCATTTGCAGCTAAAGCCGGAACCTTGCTTAAAAGAACAAAAAGATTCTGCGAATGCGGCACCTGCACTTGTGCCCTTTTCAGGCGCAGACGAGAAAAGGCAGAAAAGGTGCAGGGCGAAATTTGCAGCTGGAAACCATTAATTATTCTGTGGCGGCGTACTACTGAGTAAAGGTAGTCTAGTAATAATTCAACAATCAGCAAATAATGGGCTAATGGAGCTGCTAATGGTCATACTTATGCATAGGCTGATGGTGGCAGCAGCTGTGGCAGCTCGGTGGCAAACTCATCCACCGAGGCCACGGTTATTGCTTCAGCTTCGATGCTCAATCACACCAAAGAAAAAAAGTAGCTGGCTGGCATAACAAATTCCTTGGATGATTCTCTGGTACACCAAACTCTTAGCGCTTCGTTGCTATGGAGTTTAGCTTTGTTCATCATGCACCAGCAGTCGGCAATCCGATTCTTCAGATTCGAATTGGCGGCTTCTCCCAATCCAGCTAACTTCGCAACTGCACAGCTCTGGGCTAGATGACTGCTTGGCCTCTTTCCTTTGAGTTGACTCGACTCAATCTAGCTACCTACTCCCGTACTTGCCAGCTACCGGTACGGTATCTCATACGACCTACTAGCCAATCTGCCTGCGGCAGTGCGGAGTAGGAGCCGGTCAGTGGTATATATGAAATTCTCCAGCTAGCAACCAAAATCAGGAGCGACTTTTTGAGCCACAATAGCTCTATAGCTGCTCTATTCAGCCTGTTTTCGCTGCCCGAGCCGTCTTCAGCATGCCAAACACGAGAGCAATTAGGATCAGTTTCATCCCAGCATAGGTACTGGTACCGGAGTTGCCACAACAGGCCACGATTAGAAAAACCTTGCAACTTCAATCCAAAATGATACATGTAACGACAACAACATGACTCACCGGTCCTTCCTGAGTCTCCTGAAAGAAGTCATAGCATTAGAAGAAGCATCGAAGGAACAATCTCGAGCAGACAAAAGAATCCCCAGGATTCGCAGATGCTGCTGGAGCACTGGAGCCCACATTCTGTGATCACACAATCAAAGCTGCATTCAAAAGCCACGATATCAGATGCAGAACATGTTGTAGTACTTTGGCCGTTGCCGCATTGCTGTTGTCGCGGTGTTGCGTAGCTGCTAAAAGGATGGCTGGACCATGAACATGGAGAGAACTGAATACCAGTGGCAGGGCGCCCTGGCCAAGAAGGATGCTCTTCTCTGCTCTTCTCTGCTCCTCACAGTCTAGAAAAACACGAAAGTCTGTTGTAGCTGTTTTCAGTGGCACGAGTGATGCTGGGTTGAAGCAAACGAGGTCTTGCAACACCATTAAGCAATGCTGCCGCGACAACATCTGTGGCGTGAGTGGTGGCAGGGAACAAGACGAAGACTCGCTTCGTACTGGAAAATGGAGAAAATGTTGTCTTGGTATGGTATCGTTGGAATGTCGACAAATAGAATAGTAGCATCAGCATCACCTTGGGAAGTGGGCAGCAGCTACTCCAGTAGGTAATAGCTAGTACACGAGTACACGACTTCTTTGAAGTTTGAAGCCCGTGCTATTGACTTAATGGAGGTTCACAGGTGTACAAAGGGTGAAATAAATGTTGGTTCGAAGAGGCGCTTGGAAGAGCCAGTGAACGACGCGTGTGGGACGCATACTTTGGCCAAGGTAGCCAAGGCTGTAGCTCTAGAGAAAGTGCGTGAGTAGGGTTTCGCAACTTTGCTACTAGTAGCTAGCGAGGTGGCAACGTGATGCTGGCTGTATAACCAGCTACTACCTGTAGTGTGGCTTGGGCCGTTTCAATTCAGACTCAGGTGAACAAGAGGTCTTCAGGTTTCAGTGACTTGAAAGTTGAAAGGCTTGATAGATCCAGTGATCGTTTCACCTCCAGACCAAGCAATGGGTCAAGGAGTTGATAGTGCGAGCCAGTGGTGGTTGTGGAAAGAATATGAGTGCACGGCACCATCAAAGCAACCTTGGCACCATCAGAGAATGGCGGCCCGCAGCAAGTTTAGACTTTCCACTTCCCAACTGGTGTCAATCCTGGCCCAGCAATTGAAGTTCGACTCCACTCCCATCCCAGGCTGTATGAATGCATGCTCAACGCCAGTCGTCGGTCTACGACGCACACTCTTGTAGGTTCTTCCATTCGAGTGGTGCGTGCTACCACTGTCGGCTAAGAGCTCTGCTGCGGGATTAGATTCGTGTGGCTGATTTTTGAATCACAGCCGGGCTACTTTTCTCAGGTCAATAATATGTATTGGGTTTCTTTGCTCGAATGGATCTGTAGTTGAGAGACATGGCAGCTATAGCCACAAGCTAGTTGCTAGCGGGAAGTCGTTGACCAGGCAGAAGAGCTAAGACCATCTTTTGGTCCTGCCTGAACCCCTCAAGTTGGACTGGTAAACAAGGTCATCACCATGAATTCTGCCAGATTCATTCAAATTCTCAATCTCCAAGCCACCGCAGAACCATTCTTACAATGCTACTCCTGACATGCACAGGAGTGATGTTTGCTCCTCCACATTTCTGCAGCCCAGAACAAAAGCAAGAAAACCTGAAGCCATGAAGCAAAGTTGTGTTATTTCTACAGCCAAAACCAAAGGTGCAATTGACAGCCAACCCCAGAGCTTCATCACGACATTGTCATCCTCAGAAAGATTGACCAGGGCAACTAGATGCAGGCAGACTCTCTGGGCTATGGAGACATATCCACCTGTTGAGCTTGCTTTAGTAAATCAACCAATTCAATGGCATTCCCTCAGATCTCTTACAAGGAAGGAGGTAGGAGGTCAATCACATCACAGTAACGGCACCCAGATTCGTCCAATGGGTTATGCATGAACTGCAGACATGCAGTGAGAGGATAAGTAGAAGTACTCAAAACTAAACAGATGCCTACAAACCTGAACTTGTGCACACTATGATGAAAAACACAAAAAGTGTGGATGAGTCTATTCATAGGCAGCCAACATGCCAACTCCAGAATAGCAATGCCACAGTGCAAAGTCAGTATTGCCAGGATATTATGTGCAGCTCTCTTTCCAACATAGCCATGGGAAGCCAGAAAGCCCATGGCTAGTGAACCAAACCAAGCCAGCATGGCATAATATCTAACTAAGCAGT